TGGTGCCATTCTGTACAGAATGAATTGAGGGGTGGAGTTGTGCTCACTGATTGGGCCAGCTGCGTCATGATTTCCAGTAGGGGTCGGCCCAGTTACGGCTGGGACTCAGTCCTTGCACGTGTCGTCCTCACTATGGGACAGGGTGCTGAATTCGGACACCCAGCCAATTCTGACTGCTGACGGTGTGGACATGCGATCTTTCGCATGGGCGCGAGCAGAAGAGCCTCCATGATTCAAGCCAAGCCCATGTATGCTCTTCATTGTCCTTCATTTGTCACAGCCAGGTCGAAACTGGCTGGGCACCTATCATCTTTTCGCCTGGTCCTCGGTGACTTCAAACATGGCTTGGCTGCAAGACTGGAGGACTTGAGCGTTGTTAGAATCATTCAATTCGCCACTGCAGCTCTGGGGCGGTCGACCCAGTGCGTGGCTTTGCGGATGCGAAGCAGCAACGGTATAAACCTGGCATGACCGTGAGGATGGTGCTTAAGCAGCATGGATTCAAGCACAAAAAAACAGAATGGAGCAATTGACTTGCAGGCCGGGGTCATGCCGAACGCAGATGCCGTGCAACGTATTGTAGCGCTGCAATCATCGCGCTGATCTTTCTTTCGGATGCAATGCACGATGCTTTGGTGCTCTGCTGTGTTCGTGTGCTCACTGGCAGAAGACACATCCAGCACGCAGATGCGAAAGAAGCTCCTTTCAGGAGAAAGGCATCTGAGTTTCAACCCATTGCACGTTGAAGGACGACCCTGCAAGTCCGCTGCTCAAAATACCTAATCCCCTGGTTCAAATGCATGCTGAGGTCTTTGCATCGAGCTCTCGATGCGATTTGCATCGTGCGCGCGACCACGCAGGTGTAGATAAACAAGTTTTCTTGCCGCCGTGTTGGTTCGGGTCACCTTGTCCCATCAGTGCATCCACTTCTGCTGCGCATCGTTTCCTGGCTTGCTCGGCCAAGCTTCTAAAAGTCAGATCATCAGATCGCGATGCTGCCACAGGAAGCCATTTTCTAGCATTCAGCTAGCAGCTGGCCACACAGCTTCTTCACATCCTCGCACATGGGCAGGGAGCAAGCAGCAAGCTGAGGACCCGGAATCTATGGCAGTACTGTAGTTTGAAATCGAAACACTGCTCCAACTTTGGTAAATGGGGACACCTGGCTGTGACGCAGGGCTTCTTTGGATTAACGTGAGAGCCAGAGCATCTGCAGCCCATGTTGAAAATCTCCAGAAAACATGTCATGACCATAGCTTGCGCGGTGCTCTGAAGCTGGACGCTGGATGGGGGAATGCTGCAGAAGCCGCGCGTGCAGGCTGGCATCCAGGACATCTCAGCTTCAACGTGGTCCCAATAGAAATGCATTTGGGGTCTCTACGAGGTTGGCATTAAAATGTGTGACACCGAGAATATCCCTGATCATTTCTTGGGCGTCTCTGCTAATAGGAGTTATGAGGAGGAGGTATGAATAGGGGCATGCTTTTTTGCATTCTTGTGCGTGTGACACCAGCGAAAAGCAGGTCAGCAGGAGATTGTCGCCCGATGTCTCATGGCTTCGGCTGTGGCTTTCTTGCTATTTACCTTGCTGAAGCCGGATGCGCATGCTGCGTCTTCCAAGGCGGCTTGGCTCTTTGTAGTCGATTGCTTGAAGCAAGCATAAGGCTTTGTAGCCTTTACAACTTGTCTTTTGGCACTGGTCACCATGTTACAAAGGTCTCTTGTCGTGGCTAAGATGAATACTAAAGCTTTGTAGCATCAGCTGTCCAGCATGGGAGGGCGACATAACAAACGTCTTCCACGATGACCCGCTTGGCTTTGTCCCCTGGGATCCTGTCAGTGACCTGCCTACGTTAAATCTCCGTACTCCAGGTTGCGCTGCGCTGTGCTGCATAGTGGTAGGGCATGTGAGCAAGGACAAAGACCAATGCCGGCATGGGAAGGACTCAGCTCCGTGAAGTATGCCCAGTTTGCAGTAGCAGATGCCAGTTGGTAAGTTGGTCAGGAGACTACAAAGATATCAAGCGGCTGTCATGCACGTTTTCAGCAGACCAACTTTTTCAGTGGCTCCCAGACTGAGATGTTTTTGCCAGCCTTTTCACTTGCTGTCTGTTTGCCTATCTAGGCAAGACCTGAAGCGTGGTCTGTCCCTGTGGCTGGAAGCCAACCTGTGTGAACCTCACATGGAAGACGTCACAGTCTGGAGGGTGCTAGTGGCATTTTTTTTCGTTCAGGCGCGACTTTGGGAACATGACCCAGATCTTCTGGGAGCTCTCTTTCTCTCAATGCCCAGTTTAGGCATGCAAAAGTCCAGCTTGTACGGCCTGGGGCCCGCTCCAGGAGCAAATTCGGCCTATACAGCATGCTGCTGCCTCAGACATTGAAAGCCAGGGCTATACCCGAGCAGGGCTACCTGGCGGACGCCAACCCTGAAAGCTCAGAGATTCTCCAAAAACAATTATATGAGGGTTTCCCATAAATTAAGGGTACCTACTATAATGGAGAATCAAATGGAAAAGAAAATGGAAAATGAAATGGAAACTGGGTTTATATAGGGGGTTATAGGGGTTGCCACCTGCTGCCCAGCAGCATCATTAAGCCTTAGGCTTGGGGCTTGTGCAGCAGTCGCCCGGGATAGGGGGGGTGCATGTAGGGGCTTGCTACTTCTCAGCCCTCAGGATTTAACCAACATCATCAGCGCTCATGAGACCATGGTCTCCCGAGCCGCAGCCTTGGTCAAGAAAGGACAGCAGGCATTTATCATTAGAAGCACGGGATTTACTTCAAGAAAACCGACGCCAGAAGAAACAGTAGAAGCATTAGAAAAAGATGTAGAGGAGTTAAAGAGAGATCGTAAATTACATACTATGGATTAATATTTAAATTTGAATGGTTAAATATATTGACAGGGACAGATATAGAAGACAGCCTCATCTTCTTGTATCACATTGGATGGTCGCGAGAAAGGGAAGTATCGCCGGAACATTCAATAGCATCTCATAAGCAGGTGCTTAATTAGTTTCGTTAAAGCATTAAGGACGCGACACAGTCGCCTCGCGTGGCATTCGGACTTGATTTTCTATTAATTATTATAGAATCAATTAGTTACATGACTCTATACGTAGATAAGATTATCGTATCCTTAGATTTAAGCGATAAAAGCGACTGTGAATGTGAAATAAGCAATATAAGATACTGTCCTAATTGTCAGATATGTAGAAGTCATTTAATG